ATTTCCCATGTGGGAATCAAAAACGTGTTATAATTTCTACTAATACATTTAACAGAGTGTCTATTAATCGCAAAGGTATCCCGAGAAATAGCCGGGAATTTAATTCGCATAGAAAAATCGGGAATTTTCTTATCTAATTAAAAAAAGTTTTATTATATTAATTCATTTTAAAAAAATTGTTTTTGCTTTAATTTCTATTGATGTAATATTTTTATTTGTCAAAATTTAAGACCTACTTTCAGATTACAATATAGGTCTTATTTTTGATTTTAGCAGTCGTAACGTGGGGTCTACTTGCGATACAATTAGTTCGAATTAGACTCTCATATAACTCCAAAAGCTGGTGGAAAATTAGTATTAATTATTAATGCATTAATTAAAATACTACGAACGCATAAAGTACTACAAATTGACAAATACTGTTCTGTAAATCTGAATTAGTTGAAAATACTATTTGATAGAAAAAGTCATTTACTGATTCAAATGGTAATATTTTGATAATGAAATAGTTAATGGTAACTAATTATTAGTTTTTCCCAGTCAAATTAAATTCCCAATTGGTAGACACCTGTTCAAATATATTAGTAGAAACTAAAACCCGTCGAAGACGGGTACGACAGCTAGTGATTTTCATAAATAATAAAATTCTTACGACAATTCAATTATACTTTCAATATAATTTTTATAAAATTTCTCAAAAGTATTCAATTATTTTTATAAATAATAAAAATCTTTACGAAATTCAATTATTTTCGTAAATAATAACTAAAATTTATAACAAGAATTCAATTATTTTCAAACATAACTAAATTTTTCAAAGAAACTCAATTCTGTTTAAACATTTTGATAAAATTTTTCTCAATAATTCAATTATTTTCATAAATAATAAAATTCTTCTCTGGAATTCAATTAGTTTTGAAAATTTTAATAAAACTTTTAGCAACTATTCAATTGTTTTCATAAATAACTCTTCGACATATTTTAATTATCTTGATAAATAAGAAAATTCTTCCCAAAAATTACATTTCTTCGAGGCATTTTAATAAAATTCTTTGCAAAATTCAATTATTTTAAAAAATTCCAATAAAGTCGTTCACAAGAAATCAATTACTCTCAAAAATTTTAATAGATTTTTTTGTAAAATTTAATTATTTTTAAAAACTTTTTGCAACTGAATGATTTTCAATATCTAATATCTTTACAAAATTTCCAAACAGAATTCAATTATTTAAAAAGTTTTTTGTAAAAATGTTCCTAAGGAATTCAATATTCGTTTTATGAATAATAAAAAATCTTTAAGAATTCTATTATTTAAATTAGAATTTGCATAAAATTAGTCCAGAGAAAGAAATTATTTAAAAAAAATTTTATAAAATTCTTCGCAAGAATTAATTTTTGTTTGTAAATTTTTTTGCTTCTTTTTTACTACTTTTTTTTAATTTGTAAGCTAGTTTTTGCTACTTTTTCAAAATTAATTATCGAGTGCGAAGTCTGTAAGTTAAGAAAGTGATATTATCGAAAATTTTATCCAATCTTCAATCAATTATTTCTTGAGATGGGCATGATTGGGGAACCTTGATTCATATGTATTAAATTAATTAGTATATAATTTACTATAACTTTAAAAAGTAGTCACATTAGAGACTTGGAGTGTTTACACATATGTGAGTAGTTGGTTTAATTTGATAATTTTCTACGGTAATACTTCACACTCTAAATCTGAATCAGTGAAAATTTCACTGATTTCAATTCAGTGGCCCAGCTTTCTTTAATTCATCAGTGGGATTTCACTGACAATCAGTGGTTTTTACTGATTCTCAGTGAAATTCCACTGATTCATCAAAGAAAACTGGGCCACTGAATTGAAATCAGTGAAATTTTCACTGATTCAGATTTAGAGTGCAACTTTATGATAATCAAAAGAACTAATGAAATATTTATCAATTTATATAGCAATTTCATTTTGAGTTAAATGTTATGAACAAGACAAACTAAATAAGATTATTTAGTTATAAAAAAATGATGAATTGTTATTACACTTCATGAAAATAAATTTTTAATTTATTAAAATTAAAATTTATTAGACTGAAAAACTATCATGAAATACTTTTATTCATTTTTTATGTAAAATCGAATAGCGCTGTTAGTTTTTTTAAAAGTTACAATTTGTTTATTTGTATATAATAAATTATTAAATTTTTTGTAAAACACTTAAGTTCCAAAATTATTATTAGAGCTTAGGCTATGATTTGAATATCTATTTTTCTATATTTGCTTTTATTGTCGCATGGGCATCAGTGGGTTTACCTAATTATTTTTCATTTTACATTCCTCTAACATGTAATTTAATAAATTGAAAATAATAATTTTGTGTCAACGTTTGAGCGTTTCGCTGCAATAATCGGTCGCGCGCTCGTTTTTGCATTTATTTTTTAAGTTCTCGTCCTATACAAAAATCTCAAAGAAAAAAATATCGGCCTCTTTATTTTCTATAAGGTTGTATATTTTAAAAAACCAAATTTTAAATTCTGACTTCTTTCACATTTTGAACGTCTGACTATCTTTACAGCGACTAGCCGACAGCGCGACCGATTATTGCAGCGAAACGCTCATTTGTGTTTTTGATTAATTTAAAAAATTTTTTTCTTATCTTTCTTTTCAATATCTTTTATTTACAATTTTTACCACACATAAAGAATAAAGACTTTTTTTAATACCAAATAGATTGTGCAATACTACGTAAAGGAAATTATGGAGGAAAGAGGAAGTAAAAGATTTCTTAATCTTAGTAAATGCCAAAAAAGGAGGCGTTTACAAACTGTTCGTTGTCGGAAATATGATGCAGATAGGCAAAATTTCGATGATTTTGGTTTCACATCGGATAGTGAGAATTGTTCTGATGAAAATAATGAGGTTGAAAATTTATTGCCAAGTAATTCAGAAAACGGAGGTAATATGCCTGATGATATACGTTATGAAGCTGATAATGCTGATAACTATGGTGACGCTGATGATAGTTCAGGACCATCTCAAGAAAATAGTGAGACTGGAACGCTAACTGATGTATCCGAGAAAATTGCAGAAGATGAAGATCGAGCTGATATAATTACTTCTGGAGAAGATGATGATCACGACCCTATAAACTTAGTTGAAATTAAAAAACGTTCAATAAAAAACGCATTTTTATCTGCCAATTTAAAGCACACTCAGTGTAACATCCTTCTTAAATGTTTAAGGGACTTTCCAATTAATTTAATTTTCCTACCGAAAGATGCAAGAACCATCTTACAAACTCCAACTACTGTTGTAACTGGATTAATAGAACGCATTGCTGGTGGTGAATATCTTCATGTTGGTTTTTGATTAACTCTTAAGAAAAAATTGACAAATATTGATCCAAATATGTTACCACCGATTGTTATAATAGATTTCAGCACTGACGGTGCGAAATTAAATAAAGGCTTAAAATCATTTTGGCCTATTCAGTATAGAATACTCAACATTGGGGATAACAGACCTATAATTGCAGGTATTTTTATAGGTGATCATAAACCAAACAATGCATTTGACTTTTTTGAGTACAGGAAGTTGTTCAAATTCGTAGGGATGGAATTGTCATCAACAATAAAACAATTTTTTTACAAATACGCTGTTTTATCGCCGACGCCCCCGCATGGGCATTTATTTTAAATCATTCAGGCCACAACTCACTTAAACCTTGCTCAAAATGCAAGATTGAAGGTTTTCATTTCATGGGAAGAATGACTTACACAGGATTTAATAATTTTTTGCGAACAGATGAAGAGTATCGGAATGCGACAGATGAAGATCATAACAAAGGAAGAGGTCCCTTATCTGAAGTGCTGAATTTAGTAACCCAAGTACCGTTCGAGGGAATGCATTCTCTTTGGTTAGGAATTACCAAAAAAATTCTTTCAGCAAACATTGAAGGGACATATGATATTCGAAGAGTAGGTGGTAGAAAGATGACTATTGCTGATAGTAGGATGAAAGAGTTACGAACGTACTGTCCTACAGATTTCAATCGAAAACCGAACAAACTGAGCGCATTTAATTGCTTCAAAGCAACAGAATTGAGGCAAATTGCACTTTATTCTATGCCTTGTTTATTAAAAAATGTTTTTGACGATAAATGTTATAATCATTTCTTAACCCCTTGACTGTGGATGACGTGTATACACGTCATGAAAAAAACTGGCCCAAACAGTGGATGACGTGTATACACGTCATGGCCCGAACAAGAAAACATCTTAACGTATATTCGCAAAAATTTTTACTCGGGGGTTTTTGGGGTCGCTGATCACGATTCTGAAGTCAGATTTTCAAAATAAATCATTTTTCATCCAAAATGGCCGCCAAAAGTTTTGAAAAATTTCAAAAGTGGATAAATTCTTTTAGAAATTCTTACTCGGGGATTTTTGGGGTCGCTGATCACGATTCTGAAGTCATATTTTCAGAATACATAATTTTTCATCCAAAATGGCCGCCAAAAATTTTGAAAAATTTCAAAAATGGATAAATTCTTTTAAAAATTTTTACTTGGGGGTTTTTGGGGTCGCTGATCACGAATCTGAAGTAAGATTTTAAAAACAAATAATTTTTCATCCAAAATGGTCGCCAAAAATTTTAAAAGTGGATAAATTCTTTTAATAATTCTTACCATTTAAACTTTGAAAAGCTAATAACAGATTCGTAATCAGCGACCCCGAAAACCCCCGAATAACGAATTTTAAGCGTATTCAATGAATTTTTCAAAATCGTGTCCGCCATTTTGGATCCGCCATTTTGAATTTTAAAAAACTAATGTCAGATTCGTAATCAGCGACCACGAAAATCCCCGAGTAACGATTTTTAAGCGAATCCAATGAATTTTTCAAAATCGTGTCCGCCATTTTGGATCCGCCATTTTGAATTTTTGAAAACTAACACCGGAATCGTAATCAGCGACCCCAAAAACCCCTTAGTACCTATTGTCATGAAAATTTATTTACAAGAAGGTCTTACACATTTTGGGACCATTTTGTTATATTTTAGCTACACACTGAAGGGGTTAATATTAAACCTCGTTTTTCGTCTTTTAATGCAAAAAAGAATATTGCAGGAAATTTTATTATTTTCTCAACAAGCTTTGGAAACTTTTTTCTCTCTTTGCGAAGAACTATATGGTCAACAATTTATGTCTTACAATGTTAATTGCTTGCTCCATATAGTATCCGATGTTCAAACGCTTGGTGACTTAGAATCTTTTAGCGCTTTCGGGTATGAAAATAACATGCCGGAATTTCGCAAGCTGTTGCGCAAACCTCATTTGCCCTTCTAACAGTATTATAAGAGAAGTAAAGAATTAAATAATTTAAATTTATTGCCTCCTGACAATACCATGCGCATTCGAGCTTCATTGCCACATGCAGACGGTCCTATTCCACAAAATATTCCTGGTGAAAATTGTCTACAGTTTAATAAATTAGAAATTAGAAAACTCACACTGGCCAATAATGTATGTGACAGTTGCATCCAACTCACAGATGGAAGAATTAGAATAATTAGAAACATTCTAAAGGTAGAAAATGAGTTCTTTCTTGTTTTTCAATCGTTTCGAAACAAAGAGGCAGCATACAACGTCGGCATATCGTCTGAATTTGTTGGAGTTTATCTTTGTTCACACTTATTAGCTGCAAATGATACTATTTCGCTAAACGAAGTTGATAAAAAATGTTATAGAATGCCTGTTTGGAGTAGTGTGTCAGGCCAAGAAGAAAATGTAGTAAATGATAACTGGATATGTTCTACATTACTCAGTGAACATGAAAGCTTTCAACATTAATATCTTTTATAATAACATTCGAGCGTTAATTTCACATAATTTATATGTAAGTTTTAGTTTTGATAAATATTAAAAGCTAACTTTCGCTATACTAAAGCAGAATTCTAAGATTGTAATGAAAATTAATAGTATGAGATCCCAGCTTGCAAGGGGACATAAAATGTTTTTAAGATTTCCATGTCAGTCCAAAAGTCGTGCTAAAGATATCTTATGTACTTAATCACATTTTCAAGGTATAAGATATCTTTATGATGTATTTTGTAAGTACGTACATAATATATAAATACATGGGAAAAAGAAACTTATACCCCTATATAAAGTTCAAAAATTACAAATTTAAGATTGACAAAATCTTATTTTGTAGAAGATAAAATTAAAGTTTGCAGTGTGAAATCATGGTTATTTAATAAATAAACTTATTGTTTCTGTCATTAGTAACTAAAAAGAACAATTCTAATTTTTTGAAAAAATATTTTTCAAACTATTAAAAAATATTTTCATTACTTTCATTTTAAAGAATTTTTTTATAATATATGTAGTTTTTAATCCTTAATATGAAAACAATTAATTTCAAAATTCTAATCAGCATCACTAAATAACAATATTTTTTTGTAGATAATGGAATCCGGCAAAGGAAAAAAAAGACAGGGTGCAATAAAAAATATGTTTAATAAAAAAGCAGTTAGAGTGTCAAATTCAGGACGAATAATCACAACTCCTAAAGGACTTTTAAGCACTTCCGAAGACGAAATAAAGAATAAAGTGCCAAAAAAGAAAGTAACTGTTGAGAAAAGTTTACAAGATCTTAGGGATTTGGCGAAGAGTTTGCGAATAGAAAAACCTAAAGAGTAAAAATAATTTTATAGCCATTTCTAACGCATAATGTTGATATTAATAAATAATTATTTTATAGGATACATCGATCACACCATTCAGAATTGCAGACTTCAAGTCCATCCTGTTCTACAGATACTCATCCACCTTCCAAACATTTAATCCTTCGAACCACATATCAGATACAAGATGAGCCAAAAATTAATAGTACTTCTCAAAATTTGTGAGTACCCAGATAGCACGCAAGCTTGCTGCAAACTTGCACTGCAATCTTGCAAAACTTGCAGTGCAAGTTTTCTGCAAGTTTGCAGCAAGCTTGCGTGCTATCTGGGTAGAGATTTTATGTAATATTAATCAAAATATTGTCAATTTGTTTAATCATAATATTCTTATTGACAATATACAAGTTAAATCCATCTAACTGTTAGAGCCTTATTTTATTCTATTTTCGCGATATTTATTATGACAAAATAAAAGATTTACCACAGGTCAGGGAAATTAAGGAAATGTTAAGGAATTTTATCAAAAGTAATGGAAAACATTAAATTTCTAGAATTTCTATAATAATTTATAATAATCAGGGTCTTTTTTTCTATTTTTCTTTTAGATATAATTGAAACTTTATGAAATTGAAGGAAAAATAATTAAATTTGTTAAACAATTTCACTAAAGATTTAAAAAAAATTGATTAGGGTCAGGAAACATGTCAAAATTCTGTCTGGAAATCAGCAAAGAGAAAGAAAAATAAAATTTTTGGGACAATGGTTTTTTCAAGTAAATTATGGAATATATGTTTTTCAGGTCACAGAATTCCGCAAAACAAATAGTTCAAAAAACAGTAGATACTCCCTACATGAAGTTACTTCAAGAAAGAAATGACTTTAAAAATTTGTGAGTACAGTTTAACTAAATTTAACTAACTAAATTTTCATAATTAAATTGAATATTGTTTCTGTGTTTATATCTTTAGTTATAATATAACTGTATGTATTTAACTTACTTTTATTACATATTTTTAGGACATTAAATGAACCTCCTATTCAAAATGCAATTTCTGAAAGTCAGTTGCAGGCAGCACTGGCATTAATAAATTCAGCTTCTGTGCAAGTTGAAACGGAAAGGAACAGTCTTCCACAATTGTAAATATTAATTTCGAACAATTTGTATTATTTATATTCTTAAATTTAAATTTATTTAGAATTATTATCTTTGTTTCATGCTTCAATATTTGTTATTAATATGTGTGACGCGATCTGAAGAAAGGGACCTTAGAAGCAAATCATTTTAAGGTTGGGTTAGAGTTACTTTTTTCTTGTTTGAAAGTTTCTTTTTACTTATTTCGAATTAAAATCAGTGTTTATTAAATATTTTAGTTTTAATGAAGACTTAAACTTCAATGATTTATATTGACAGTTGATCCTTTTTTTGTATTTTCAATTAAAAAATTGCAAACATAACCTATAATTTTTTGCTTCTAAGGTCCCTTTCTTCAGATCGCGTCACATGTTTAATACGTTAGATAATTAATTAATAAATTAGTAAGAGATTAACACAAATATTATATTTTTCAGAATGATTTTACAAAATGCGATTGCACCTAACACGCTAAATTCTAATGAGTTAAATGAGTCCTTAGAAAATCTTTCAGATGAGGGAGAAAATAATCAAGGTTTCTTACATAAGTTTGATTTCAATACAGTCTTGCAAAGATTAGAGTGAGTTAATTTTTTTCTGAATATTTCATATAATTTTCATCATACATTTCTTTAATTATATTGTATTTTCGAAAATAGTAATATAGAAGAACAGAATAGAATGATTCTGAATATTTTAACTGAGATGCGTTCAAATTCTTAAAAATATTCGAACAAACGTTGTATCAACCTTTGACCGGTTTTCCTATAAAAACTATAGAGGATTTCAAAAATTTAGAATCAGAAATGGGTAAAGAAATTCGTCAAAAAATTGTAAGTTTTTTAGTTATTTTCATTTTTTTATTTAAATAATATTAATTAAATCAGGGTGGCTACATGTCAGTAAAGTCAGGAAAATGTCAGGAAAAAAATTTTTTACAAGAAAATTAAGAAAATTGAGACTACATTAACTTTTTTGGAAAATTGTGACTTTTTCGACTTTTCTTTCAAACTAAATGTATCTATAATAAAATTTTTTTTGAATAGTTGAAATTTGGAAAAATTTAATTCAAAATAATTTATTTATTTCAAGTATTCATTTAAAGTTTTTAAAAATCAGTTTTCGAAGAATTTGAATTGCAAATTTTGAAAATAATTGAAATATCAAAAATTGTTATGTACAAATTTAAATCTTTTAAAAATGAAAATTAATGATAATTATTATCTAATTTTTTGAAATTCAATATTTCCAGTATTTTTAATAACATATTTCTAAAAATTTAAATTCATAAAAAATAATAACATTTTAGAATTATTTTTAACATTTTGGAGAAAATAATTATGTTTAAAATTTTGTATTAAAATTCAATTATTTCCGAAAAATGTAATTAAAATATTTTTAAAAACTAATTATTCGAATTGTTTTATAATAATTTATTACAATTGTTCAAAAATTTGATCATTTATATTTTTCTAGAATTCAATTATTTTTAAAAAAATTCACCAAATTTTAATTGTTTAGAAAATTGAAAAATTAAAAAAAAATTTTAATTAAATAATAAATAATAATAATATAATAATAATAATAATAATAATAATAATAATAAATAATTTAATTTAATAATTTAAATATTTTAAAAAAAAACTATGGAGAGTTACAATTATTATTATTATAAAAAATTGAGTTTTTGTATTTAAATAATTGAATTCTAGAAGAACTTTTGGAAAATTATTTAAATTAATTAATTAATTCAGAGATGAAGTTTAGTTAAAAATTGTAGAAATAATTGAATTCAGGTAGGGTTATAATTGTAATTTTTATAAATTATTAAAATTCATAAATTTTACTTATTTTTTGTAAACTTTCATCTTTTCCTGTAAAAATAATTTGTCGGGGAAAATAATTTTAATGTCAGTAGATTGTCAGGGAAATTGATAAACTGAAACTTGTGACCACCCTGTTAAATTATAATGATATAATAATAATAATTATTATTATTATTAATCATAATAAATTAATCTAATTAATAATAAGATATTAATTACTTTTTCAAGTTTTCATTTAACGTAAATAACATTCTTTCAAGTAATACTATCTTTTGTATATAATTTTTTCAGTATGATCATTTAAAACAGCTAGGCGGCTCTAAACTAAAAGAATTCCTAAGTTGTGCTCTAAAGGAAGTAATGGAAGATCAGTTAGTTGCTAAATTTACGTGGCATAAACAAAAGGACTCAGAGAAATTCGGAGATACTAAAGTTTCCAATATATTTTTTCGTAAGTTATCAAAATCACTAATTGTATTTTTCTTTTCCTCAATATTTTAATAAAGTCAAAAACGATTTATATATTTTATAGGTGCTGCTGCAAAATGCCCTTTGTTTGATGGGCCAGCTAACAAGGAAAATTATAAGCAGGCCATGTTGGAAGTGCTTAAGAGCACAAAGCAAAGATATAGAAACAAAATAAAAAATAGCCGACAAGCTAATGCAAACCAAGAAGAAATTGAAAACCGCGTTCAAGAAGAAGATGAATCAACTAATGATGTCGATAATAATAATGAGGAAGACGATTTTTCTAATGATGCCAGTGACGAGGATGAAGACTCTGATAAAAAAATTAATATATGATTTTATTTAAAAGACTGTTAAGTATATATGTTTTGTTTATAGTCCATATATACATATTATTTAATAAGGTTTTTTCATAATTTTAAAAATTGTTGTTTGAAACGACTAACTAATAAACACATAAAATAATGTTTTGTAAAAATATAAAATATTTTTGTTCTTAACAAAACAATGTTGTATAGTTTTAATAAATAAAAACGAACATAATTAATTAGCACTTTTGATTTACAAATTATTTACACACACGGTCAGGCATATATTCACCTTACGGGCGGCAATTTTGTTATCTGGGTATAGTATTAGAAGTTTCATAGCTGAACAGTTTGGGACTCAACACAAGTTATCCCATTCATCAGCTTAAACAAGACTGTTTAAATAGTCTAAGAGGGAATAAGAGTATAAAAAATTGGAATGAGAAATTTCTTTCTCATGTAATTGTTAAAAGAATGCGGCAGTGTACAAAACACAAGTCAATAATAGAAGCGAATATTGAACAAATAGTACTCAGTCCAGTTCTTTCGAAAAATGAACGCCGTGCACATAAAGTAGATACCTACTCGAAAACCACAAGTTATTCTCTCTCTCTCTCACACTAATGGTCGTTCACTTATCTTACCGTTTCACTTACTCTTACTACTCTCAACTATTATGCAGTGCAGTTAAGTTCATTAAATTATTAAATATTGCTGTGAGAATAATTAATTATATATTTCATTCAAGGTCAATTCACTATTTTGTACACGAAAAAAAAAGAATAATCAAATTTACCATGAGGAGTGTCAAACTTGAAAAAGGTTAAGAAAAAATTAATGTTTTTTATTTATTTATTATTAAATTCTAGTAACCGTATCAAATTTAAACTAGTTGACAATATTATTTATTCAATATTATGAATATTGTTGACATCCATACTTACATTAATTACAAAGTAAAATTCACGCATGATCTAATTTATTTCATTGGTAAGGGACGTTTCTTAAATAGGAAATTTCCCCCATCGATTGCGTAGCCGAGAGGCTTAATGTAAAAGCGTGCGATTTATAATTATGCGTATATTTAGTTGTATGGTTAGGTAGGTGTTCAATCCCGTATGATTGTAAGATTTTCCGATGCATTTAGTTGTTAATTGTAAGTATGAAGATGTGGGAAGAATAAAACTTGTGAATTAATGAATATGAATATATAAAGAGTGCACTTAACATATTTTTCTTTTTTTTTAATGATAGGTTATTGTTTTTTTTATATAAAATTGACGAAGTGAATAAAAAGAAACACTCGTTTCGCGTCGCGTCGGCCATTTATTTTGACAGGTTCCGCGCCTGCGTTCCCTTATAAGGTAGTTCAAGTTGGGTGGGGGAAATCCAATATGGCTGACATCAGCTGATTTACCGGAGGACAAACAATGCATTGAATTCAATGGGACAAATCAGTTTTTCAACCATAACTTTTTAAAAATTTATTTTTGAACCATAGTGCAATGGAAAATTATTCTTTATTTATCGAAATCTATTTTTTAAAACAATAAAATTTAATTTTTTGGTTTTATTGTTTTAAAAAATAGATTTCGATAAATAAAGAATAATTTTCCATAACACTATGGTTCAAAAATAAATATTTAAAAAGTTATGGTTAAAAAACTGATTTTTCCCATTGAATTCAATGTATTGTTTGTCCTCCGGTAAATCAGCTGATGTCAGCCATATTGGATTTCCCCCACCCAACTTGAACTACCTTATTGTGAAAATTTCGAAGTAGGGGACTGAGTCCAGTTTCTCTACTATGCACACTGCAGCGCGCCTTATAATCTTCGCCTGTGTTTCAATGCTGTTTACAGTGAAATTTGGAACTAAGGCCATCTATACACTATACGCAATACCCTAAGATGCTTGATGGAAATAAATTAATGTACTTTTACTGGACTGAGTCCTGTTTTTTCAATATTGACTCCCAGTTTTTCAAACTCCATTTTTCTCCGTGAACGACTTCATAAGAAAAATATTTTTTTAAGCAAATTTTTATTAATTTTTGTATAGAAAATATTTTGGATAGTTTTTTGAATAATGATTTATAAAAGAAATATTTGTGAACAAAAAATTTTATTCTTTTTCGTAGGAAAATAATTTTTTTTTCAATCGTTGATCATAAACGTTGCGAACTTCACCGACGTAAAGTAAAAAGTATTAAATTTGCGATTCTAAAGAGAATTTAAACCATTATGACGTCACAGTTTTAGAACAAATGCTTTGAACAAACTGTGACGCACCCATTGGAGAGTTAATGCCAGGGGAGTTAAATAAAGAGAGTTAAAATTTAACACCCAAATGCTAACTCCCCATGGAAAAAATAACTCGCGCGGGTGTTGAATGAAGGGAGTTAAAAATTAACTCTCTTTTGGAGTTGATTTTTAACTTGAAAAATTTAACTCCCAACTCCCGAGTCCGTTAACTCCCTAAATTTTTTACAGTGTACATACTAACTTATGCTAAATTTTTGCGCCTACAGAACGACTTTGAAAATTAGGAGTACTCGCATTTGCCTGGACCACCCGTCTAATTGTCTTTCTCGCCAATCGAGAGGGAAACTGTAGAAAACCTCTCCTGAGTACAACCGGTTTATCGACAGTCGAGTTCTAATGGTGTGTATCGGACAATAATCGACAGTGCACATGAAACTGAAGTTACCAACGTTTGTTCGTCGAAAATTATAAAACGTAACAATTTCCCCGCCTCAGATCCAATTTTTTTTCCACATTTATTATAGATACTAATATTAGAAGCCATTAGAAATTATTTTCAAGTGAAACCAGGTCGGGGAAGGCAACGATTTTGATTTTTTGGCACGGATTTTTCGGATTTTTTAAAAAATCCGTGACAAAAAGTCAAAATCATTGCCCTCCCCGACCTGGTTCCAGTTGAAAATAATTTCTTATGATTCCTGACATTAGTATGTTTAATAAATGTAGAAAAAAAATTGGATCTGAGGCGGGGAAATAGACATTGTTTCGAAATTTATGAATTTTCGAAAAATCGGTAACAAAAAAATGTCAAAATCGTTGCCCTCCCCGACCTGGTTCCACTTAAAAATAATTTCTAATGGCTTCTAACATTAGTATTTATAATAAAAGTGGAAAAAAAATTGGATCTGAGGCGGGGAAATGGAAATTATTACGTATTATATTTTTCGTCGAACAAACGTTGGTAACTTCAGTTTCATCAGTGCACATCATTATACCTCCACGTCAAACCTCCCTCTCAAATTATCACGCGCCGAAAAATCTAACGCTAATGGGCGCGAACCAAGTACCCTTGGTCCTGAAGCGTCCGCCGAGCGAGGCATTTATCCGCCCGAGCTAATCTGTCGGTGCGTGACATGTATACATTATGATCAAAAGATCATAATTATATCCATTCACTAATCTATCAATAAAGTGAATTTTATAAATTATACATTTTTAGTGCATCCGCTATTAAAAAACACGTGTATATACACAGCATAAAACATCAAATTAAAGAATAATAAAAAAAGTAACGTTCGCTTTATAACTAATAACAATACAACAATATTCACAAAAAGATGAAGTTTTTCTTTTACAAGCTTTATGCTTTATAAAAGATAGAGCATGCGTTTTTGATTAAAAAAACTATTACAGCAACTTCCTAGTATCCTGAACTACTACACTAGAACTCCCAAGAGAGTCACTCGCAAAGTCTTATGTGACTCTTTTAGAGAGTGACTTTCACCATTCAAAAATGTAAACATTAAGACCCGTAGAGTCTATGGAAATAAGAATATTTGTACGTCCGCATGAAAAGAGCCCATTCAATCTATTTATATACATACATGGATATTTTGTTTATTTTTTACAATTTTATATTATAAATTAAATAAATTTTATCAATATGAATAGAAATATTCACATATTAACTAATTTTGTTCAATTTTTTCTAAAGATATAAATATATCCTAAAATCATAATTTGATATTTTGATTAAAGGTTTCCTTGACGTTCACTGTTTTAAAAATTGACTTAAAAAATGATTGAGATTCTGTTTTTGATTGTCCAACTCCTGAAATTGATTGTCCAACTGTTAAAAACGGTTGTCCAACCTTGAAAATTACAAACAAGTGCATTCAGTTTGATTAATGGTTTCCTTGACGTTCACTGTTTAAAAATTTGAATTAAAAAATGATTAAGATTCTGTTTTTGATTGTCCAACTGTTATAAACGATTGTCCAACCTTCAAAATTGCAAAAAAGTGCAATCCGTTTGATTAAAGATTTTTTTCACGTCGACTGTTTAAAAAAATTAATTAGAAAATAATTAAGATTCTGTTTTTGATTGTCCAACTCCTGAAATTGATTGTCCAACTGTTAAAAACGATTGTCTAACCTTCAAAATTGCAAAAAAGTGCAATCAGTTTGAATAAAAATTTCCTTGACGTTCACTGTTTGAAAAATTGACTTAAAAAATGATTAAGATTCTGCTTTTCATTGTCCATCTGTTAAAAACGATTGTCCAAACTTCGAAATTGCAAAAAAGTGCAATCAGTTTGATTAAAGATTTCCTTGACGTAGACTGTCTAAAAAATTGAATTAAAAAATTATTAAGATTCTGTGTTTGATTC